TATCATTAAAAATGGTGAGTTATATTGTGCATTTACCAAATTATCAACACCTTTAATAAAGTTATCAGTGTGTGAAATAAAAATCACAATACTGTACTGTGGCCAGAGCAATTCACAACAAACCCATCAACTGGAGATGGAAACTTGACGTTTCAATTGGAAATGTTACCTAGATTCATCTCCTGTGTATTCGGTACTATAGGTGTGAATTATGACCAAGTATTTTACTAGACAGGATAAAATTACTGTTGTATCAATGATTCAGAACAGCTACTGTATGAACAGTTATAACTCAGCTTGTTGATGTATAAGAATAATAAATAAAATGCCGCAGTAGTATGGATATGAATACTAGACATCTGTAAGAAGTGACTAAAGCAATTTGCCATTTGTGCATTAGAGTAATGGGGAAAAGCGTGATTTCAAAAATATATGAGTGACAAAAACTTTAAAACCAATAAACAATGATCACAGCAGAATAAAATTAATACAATAACTCTTTATCAATAATAAATAAACTATACAATATATATACTGGAAGTCTTAAAAATAAAATATCACTATAACTATGCAATGAGGGAAGGACCTGGTTCACTCCTAGTTCCTCATCAGACTGGATGAAAAAAATATGATGACATACCTTTGACTGGTTTTCAGGGTTTTCCACTCTTATTGATTGGCCTTTTCAATCAGGCTGTTGCTGTTAACACCCTGCTGGCCCACATAGCCATTACAACCTAGTTGATCTGGTACTTGGCAGGATGACTAGGTGCGAGAAGCACAGTGAGGATGACTAGGCGAGAGAAGCACAGTGAGGATGACTTGGTGATAAAAGTGTGGTGCAGATGGATGGAGAAAGGGAGATGTGTGCTGAGAATAAATATGGTGATGAAAGGTATAAGCAAGCTTGCTTGTAAAGTCAATATGACCATTTTTCCTTAACAGTGACTTGATCCAGGGAGGACGACTCAACCAGCAGCAGAAGCAAAATGCGGACAAACTCTCAGAGGCAACTAGAATGAAAATTTGTATTTACATAGCACTTTTGACCCTTTAAGGAAAGTCATTTGAGGCTGAAGGGCTCTAGATCCAAAGAATTGAAGCAACCTTTCCCTTTCTTGGATTAAACCAGATTATTACACCAAGCCCTGCATGGCCCCTATGAGTTTAATGCTTCCCCATGAGTATAATAATAATAATAATAATAATAATATGGAATACTACTTGGACATATGAGGTAATTCAGTGCTTCTGTCAATAATAATGTTTAAGGAAATTAGTATTTACGGAGAATGTTTATGTTTATTCTGCTGCTGTGAATTAGAAAAAAAGTATGTTCGGAATATAGTCCAAAAAATATAGAGTACTGTGTAAGAAAATTACCAGCTTTAAAAGAAAAAGCTGTTCCTCACCACATGTCAGGTTGTATGAATAATACTTAAGAAATAAAACTAATGACACTTTCAGCTACACAACTTAACAATTAAGACTGTGATAACACACTGATTTATGTTGTAAACACCTCTTTGGTACACCATTTGCATGTTCGCCTTCCTATACTGCAGTTACATGTTGAGTTTTGCATCATATAAAAACTGTAGATTGTTTTCCCTAACTAATGTTAACTAAACAGTCTGACATACATAATGTCTCATGAGACCCTTTATCTACAATATTTTCCAAACATTAGAACATTTACACATGTAATTATTTAGCAACATAATGTACCATGATGTATAGTATATACAAACAAAAAGGATAATGTGAGCTGCTTCATCATAGTACATTAGCAGCTAATATTTAAGCTACTGATTCTACACTTAGTTTTGTTAGTACAGTATTTTACACATTTGGCTCATTCTCTCCATTCCACATTCTTCCTTAAAGAATCAATGTAAATAAAAGTTTGAGATCTTTTACAGCCTCACTAGACATTTATCTAAGATGGTACTCCCATATTCCTTAGCCATACCCTTGCAATAAGCATTAAGTCAAAGGGAAACCTGAGTTATGTTAGGCTTTTGCTATTTCATTAACTGGTTATCCTGGGATAAAACTCCGAACAAAATTGTATATGCAGTATTATCTATTGAGATGAATTGATAAAAAGAGATGAATGACAACACAAAAGATGGGGTACAGTAAACCCTCTTATAAAATGATTTTGTCTAACTGCAACTAAAAAAGTGCCTTCATTTTGGCATAGTGACCAAAAAAGCCTTGATAATTTGCTTTGCAAGCATGGAAGCATCAAGTTATATGAAAAACCTTGGAAGTCTGCTACCCAGAGGGTTAAGTGTTGGGAGGCATTGCCACCTATGCTGCCTACAGTTGCTTACTACAGTTGTGTACAGTTGCTTACTTGGAGAGTCATGTGCCGTACTCAGTATATTTATCAAAGGATTTTGGATATTTTTATCACCCCTGTTTGTCCCTGGATATTAACCATAGCATTCAAGAGGAAGCCTAGTGATGCTGGAAGTTCCAAGAAGTGGTAATCTCTGATGGTATTGAAAAAAGTGTTAAGTGTTAATTTTAGAAACACTTTCAAGGTAATGCACGTGTGATGTGATGCAGACTGCCCACACTTTTGATCTGAGAGAATCCACCATCCATACGGTTAACCATTAAACTGTCCAAACGTTGATCTACATTTTTTCAACATTTGAAAGTATGTAAAAAAAGTAGATTTTTTTTTTTTTTTACATTTGAAAACGTGTAAAAAAACTTTGATCTACTTTTTTTTTTTGTTATATTTGAAAATGTGTAAAAAATGTAGATCTACTTTTGGAGCACTACACACGTGAACATAGATCTGCTTGGACAGTTTAAGGGTTAAGAGACAATTGAGAAGAAATGAGAGCTTATGTAATTAGTGCAGATTGTGTCCTTGGTGAAAAGACTCTCAAATGGGACAAAAAGACTCTCGAAGACGGCAAATAGACTCTCAAAGAGAGTAAAAAGGCTCTCAAAGAGGGTAAAAAAACCAGACACATATTACAGAATACTTGGGCACACAAGTACAATCAACACTTATTGACAACTCTATATCCACATCTACACAAAAACCTCAGCCATTCACCTTAGACCAGTATGGCCACACCAACCCTGTCTATATGCTTTCATGCCAATAAGCAACAGCTAAAATATAAAGCAAGATATACTGCATTAATCTGCACCTAATAAGTAAAAAAAATTTGGCAAATGAGGTCTCTGGAACCTAACTTCCATTTTTATCATATAAATCTACTATCCCCTACAATATCAGAGGGTTTACTGTACTGTAATTGTGAAAAAAAAAAAAAAATCCCATCACAAACAAAGTGAAAAACAGGCACATAAAAGCATCCCAGTTTAGTTCAGTACTGTCTATATAAAAAAATACAGGATCAAAATACCAGTGAGCCCTGGTAGGACTTCACTGGCTTTCTCCTAACAAGTGATATACTCCTAACAAGTGGTCAAGGGAGGATCATTTGCTCCTTATATGACTTCACTGGAATTCTGTATGTCAAGCATGTTAGTGGAAATAACTTTCCCTGTAGGTACGAAGTAAAACAATTTTATTAAGGTTCATCTGGCACAAGTTAAGATATGTACAACAGACAAGTATTTTTTTTATCCTAGAGTGGTTTATTAATGCTAAATTTAAGCTAAATTAATAAAATTAGCTACACAAAGATTCTTATATACAAACAGCTTTCAAACAAGAATGACAACACATACAGATACATACACCTAGAGAAATATTATCGCTATTAAACAAACATCTTATGGGGCAGGGCAGATCAAGAGCTCTCTGTAATTTGCAGAACCCACAAATGCTGTATATACATAAACACACAAAAAGTACAGAGCATTAACTAATCTTTTATATGTAATCTGTGAGTGCACACGCCTGTGTGTACTCGCCTATATGTGGTTGTAGGGGTCAAGTCAGCTCGTGTTGGTGTGTGTTTGTGTGTGTGTGTTCTGTGTTGTGTGTGTGTGTGTGTGTGTGTGTGTGTGTGTGTGTGTGTGTGTGTGTGTGTGTGTGTGTGTGTGTGTGTGTGTGTGTGTGTGTGTGTGTGTGTGTGTGTGCACAGCCTTACACACACACACACACACACACACACACAGGAGGAGCCTGCTTTTGAGCGTCCCCCTTTTCTGTGTCCAGCTATTTCAGTGGGTTTCAATTAAGCCACTGTTCATTATGTTCCACTGTTTTTGGCCTGATGCACACAACAGCTGCATCAGGGAAGGATGTTTGGTAAGGTAAGTAATGTACGTGTTCTATATTCATTTTTACTTCCATATCATTTTTTTAGGCCTAGCTGTATTTAGAACTTAATACATGATAGTGTAAACATGTTATCAAGAGTTAACATGAATGCAATATTGAAAAAAAAAAACTGCTATGTTCCACTTGTTGGTGATTTTTGCTTATCAGTGGGGTCTGGAACCTAACTCAACACATAAGGAAGTCCCTCCTGTGTGCATATATAGTATACGTATATGAAATAATAGTGAATGAACGCTAACAGGTGCATGATAACCAGAGGGGGAGTTGAATGATAGTACCCATTAATTTCCCCCTGTGGTTATTTTGCTTATGTATGTATGTAATGTATGTCTGTATGTGTGTAATGTATGTATGTACATGTATGTGTATATTTTTTTTCGACGAACTAGCCATATCCCACCAAGGCAGGGTGACCCAAATAAGAATAACAAAAGTTTCTCTTTTTTAAATTAAGTATTGTATACAGGAGAATTGGTTACTAGTCACTTGCTGCTGGCATATTAGTCGCCTCGTACGAAACGCATGGCTTACAGAGAAAGAATTCTTTTCCACTTCCCCATGGAGAACACACACACAAACAACACACACATATATATATATTATATATATATATATATATATATATATATATATATATATATATATAATATATATATATATATATATATATATATATATACATACATGTATATAAATACACACACACACACACACACACACACACACATATACGAATATATATTTATATTTAACATGCTCCCACTGTGACACACACACACACACACATACATACATGTGAACTCAGGCATACACAATAATACTACAGTATAATAAAAGGATGCAAATTTGGGGAATTGGTAAAAATAATATAAGTACTATAATGAACATTTACAAAGATTCACAAATCATTTTTAATGCAGTGAAAAAAAAAAACTACGAAATGCTACTATGGTATTTGTTCACATATAGTACCAAGGCTGCTGAAGAGATGGAGCACATTACGTGAAACCTAAAGATTATAGTACTTTAACTGTATTTAATATTTGCATGTTAATAAACTTATCACAGGTTTTGCCATTTTAAATATTTTCTCAAAATTTACTTACTGATAATACTGTATATTGTCATTCATAACTTATCATTTAGTAAATTTCAATTGGATTTGGTCACCACTGTAAGCACTTTACATAAAACAAAAAGGGACCAAGGAAATTTTCTCTTTGCAAATAAAAAACCACATATTTTAGTTACTTTATACAGTAATACTGTATGTTCAGTACTATCGATTTAAAAAATATGCAGCAACTATATTAGAAAATGCTTCTCAGTCGTGTAGCATGGTTCTTTTAGCAACTTTTTTTCCTTGATATGATTTTATGATCAAGGTTTTTCTGAATCTATATCAAACATACCTAGATTTACTTATAAATGGAAATTAAAACGAAATATGGATACCTACTTAAATTAAAAATGGGGAAAACAGTGGTTGTTGGACATGCCTCAAACAGAATACAGTGGACCCCCGCATAACGATCACCTCCGAATGCGACCAATTATGTAAGTGTATTTATGTAAGTGCGTTTGTACGTGTATGTTTGGGGGTCTGAAATGGACTAATCTACTTCACAATATTCCTTATGGGAACAAATTCGGTCAGTACTGGCAACTGAACATACTTCTGGATTGAAAAAATATCGTTAACCGGGGGTCCACTGTACATACTAGAGAGACATCAGATGTAAGAGGTTAGCAATGAAGTAACACCTTCATGAAAAACAAAAATACTTGAAAAAAATTAAGAAATTAAATTTCTCTACACAACAAATTAGAATTGTGCATATCTTTAAGCGTTTATGAGAATAAACTCTCATACATCACACGATCATAGTTGGCAAAATAAAATTTTGCATTTTAAATTTAATTTTTCATTTCCAACAGTAACACACCATTACCATTAAGGTGTACCAGGGCAAAATTAGTGGAGCACATTACCATTACGGAGGATCCCTCCACTCCTTGGGCAATGCCATTGTTTTGGTGTGGGGGAGGAATAGTCATAAGTCTCTGGACACATACCATATGATAGACTCTCTGTGGTTATCTTCTCTATTTTCATTCACATTATCACTTTGCTTTGTGATGTAATGGTTTAGAAAACTGACACAGTGAAGAATGAGACACTTGTGAAAAAAAAAAAATCAATTTGGCATACTTTGAATAAGGTCTAGTGTTTTGTTTTTAGTTAAGATTACCCAAAGCATCATGTGGAACTGAAAAAACTTATTAGAACAGCAGTATGATACCCTAGAAAAACAATTTTATAACTGACACAGGGAGCTACACTACCCAGTAACATTATCAACCTTCATTTAACTAAGATACACAAGAGATGAAAGATGAGGTTGTTCCAAAGTGCAATCCTTCATTACTGTACATTCTGTCTATAAGAATATGAAAAAATGAGTGTTTGTGTGTAAATTAATTTATCATCAGTAAATCATTTACAATACTTGAAAAGGTCCTACTCTGCTTTACAGAGTGGAATGTTACCTTAGCATGTTACTAGTACTCACATAACACTGAAAATTATCCTAATAGTGCTATATATCAATAGTCGTAGTCCGGTGGTGAGAGGCGTGACTCTCACCATTGAGGTCCAGGGATCGAATCCCCGGAATTAAAAGAAAAGATAAATAGTTATATACAGCATAAAGTATGCTGTACTATATTTTTGTGGAGACAATAATGACCATTAGGACTGCAGTCAGCATTTCCATGATTTAGTGCATGTTGATTTAGCAAGATGATGGGAGGGCAACTAGCAATCTGGATGGGAAATGTGAAGTGACAGTATACACACAAGTGAAAGGTTTTATAAGGTCATGAGGAATGGAATACAATAAACAATCCTATTTAAATGAGGTGCTTGAAAGTTTTTCCTGATGTAGTGAAAATGTATTTTGTAAATGGATATATGTATGGCCCTTCTCCCACTATTGCTTTGGCCTAATTCACTATATAACATCACCAAGTTTAAGAGCAACTTTCAAATGCCACAGATTCCCTTTCCATGAATATGATTATCAAATTTCTTTTACAGATTTCCCTGTTTTGGCTTTACTGTTAATAGATTTTGAGGCAACTTAACATCAAGGTAACAGTTGGAGTGGTTATCGCGCTTCCTTAACAGCGCACTAGACCCACATTTGAACATTAAAGAGGAGAAATAATTAATTGGTACTGGAATTCATTTCAAGTTCATTCTTAAGAGTATAATGAAATCCTCACCAATTTGGTGCAAAAAGCCCAACTGGTTCAGGAACAAGCAGCCAAATGAAGGATATACAGTATACAGTACTATCCAGTCTCAACATATCTGTAGTAATGACTAACCCTTGAATGGTTGACATGTAAAGTGTTCCAGTCCCTGCACAGTATACAACTTGCCCTTGCTGGGGATCTAGTTCATTAAAAAAAAAATATGCTTGTCTCTCAGTGCATGCAAATGGCAAGTACAATATCTAAGCCAGTGTGAAACATTCTTTCTAAAGTATGTTTTGTGCTGCAGTTAAGTCTTACACTCAAAGCATTTTTGTGACAATTATAATCTTTAGAAATATTGTGGAATGCTTCTATGTCTGGTCATCCTAGGAAGGTAAATTGCTATAGGGAATAACATGTTTAAGATATGCAGTAGCAGAAAGGCAGACATATATTTTTAACTATTTAATATTGTGTGTAATTTTCATTTTCATCATCTGTACCTATCTCAAACTCATTATCTGTACCTATTTCAAACTCATCATCAGTACCTATTTCAAATTCATTGTCTGTACCTATTTCAAAATCATTATCAGTACATATCCCAACCTCATTATCTGTACCAATCCCAACATCATTATCTGTATCTATCCCAATTTCGTATGTTTCTTCTAACTCATCGTCTGAATCTTCACCTAATGAATTAGCAGGCTTCACTTTTTCCAGCCAACTACTTTCATTCTTATCATTCACATTACCCTCATCATTCCTCTCACTTTTAGCCTCATCATTCACCTTGTTTTTATCCTCATCAATTAACCCATTTTTATCTTTATCCTTACTGCTAACCTCATTTACACATCCTTTCTTTGCCAAGAGAGAACTTTCTCCTTCCCTTTTAGAAATAAATTCTCTAGTATTGTGTCTGTCTTTCCTCCTTTCAAAGGTTTTAGATGATGGCAGCCATTCTTCATCATCACTAAAATTTGTTTCAGAGATTTCATCCTCAGTTTGTTCACTCTCACTGTTGTAATTACTTTGCTCAGATACATGTTCCAAGAAGTGGGTAGCCAAATGTGCGTACAATTCAGGCTCATCATTGAAACTTAAAGAACAATCACTACATTCGAGGACCTTCTCCTTATCATCTGCACTATTACAAGTAGTGCTTAACAGCTCATTGAGAGATCTATATTGCACAGGTGGTTTGCATAAATGAATCTTGATGTGCTTCCAGTACTCTAGCCTATTCCGATATGTATCATTACATATTGAACAATTAAATATATCTTCTTTCTTTTTACATTTAGTTAGCAACAGTTTCTCAATCTGTATATTTCGCTTACTAGTATGATCAGCATATTTCTTATCAAGTTTGCAATTACATATCCAGCACTGATTTCTCAGATTAATTTTATTGAGTAAATCTCGAGGGACTAGAGCATTCCACATACCAAGTTCACTATAATGTCTAGAAATATGCCTACAGAGCCACCACTCACTCTTAAAAACTGCACCACATACAGTGCAAGTTAGAGGTTCTCTGACTATTCGAGTCAACATAAATTTGTGTGACGATAGAACATGTTTTACAGCTTCTTCATTATTTTCAAATGTTTTGAAGCAACGAATACATTTCAAAGTATCATTGTTGGATATTGGCCTTGACTTTCTGACAGCTACAGTACGTTTCTTTATTGAACTAATGAACTGTGGTTCCACTTTATCCTTTCCCTTCTTCTCAACATACTTAGCACTAACAGTTTGTAGTTTATTGTTGTCATGATTCTCACTCAAAGAATTTAAACTATCTTTACTTTGACTATGGTCACTTTTCCATTTGCCATCTATCTGAACAAACGGCAAAAGGAAATGACTTGCTAAATGTCTGTTCAATTCAGATTTTTCTTTAAATTTACACAAGCATTCACTACATTCAAGAAGGTCCTTTTGAACATCATTAGAATTACCAGGAGATTCTGCCAATACATCTTTTTGTTTACGCTTTTTAGGAACCTTATACATATGGAGCATTATGTGCTTCCAATATGTATATCTATTAGAGCATGCATAATTACATAAAGAACACTTGAAATTCTCATCAGTTTCCAGATCTTTGAATTTATTTGACAATACTCTTTCAATATAATTGTTCCTCTTGTGTATGTGCTTTGAGGCTTTCCTACCAAGCATATTTTTACAAATCCAACAAAATCTTCTATCTTGGGTTTGTTCTAATAAATTCTTGGGCACAAGATCATCCCACATATTGAGTTCACTGTAATGTTTTAATAAATGAGCACATAATACCATTGGTTTCATAAATGTCTTGTCACATATGTGACAAACATGAGTCTCACCCATCATTTTCAACAGTGATTTATGGGTAGTTACAACATGCTTCAAGGCATCTTCTTTCTTCGCAAACCTTTTATGGCAACGCTTACACCGATGGGGAAGTGCTTTATAGTCTGATACATTCTCTTCCAACCAAATATTTTCAATCTCATCCTTGTCATGTTCCTCATTGGTATCATCTTGGGCATTCTTATTTTCCAGATCTCTTTTGAAATTTTTACTCTTATTTATGGTTTTCAATTCACCTTCATCTTCTTTGGTATCTGAGTGTAAAAGATGTATGCCCAAATGACCTAAAAGTTCTGATTTTTTCTTAAACCTCATTGGACATTTAACACATTTAAAGTACTTTCCTCCTTCGGCATTTTTGAATGGTGACTTTGACAGATGAACTTTGATGTGATTCCAAAATGAATACCTACAAGGAAATGATTCTTCACAAACAGAACAATGATAAATTTTTCCTTCTTTTGCAGATGACATTTTACATGCTTTACTTGATAAATACTTCTCAATGGTTTTATCTCGTGTAGTAACATGATATCTATGATATTTCATGCCTGCAGTTTTACAGATCCAACAGTTCATTCTAATATTTTCTATATCTAATTCAGAGGGCACCAGGGCATCCCACAAGCCAAGTTCACCATAATGCTTTACAATGTGTTTACAGTATGATAAACTCGATATAAATGATTTGTTGCAAATATGGCATATCTGGGGTGCCTTTGTTGCAAATAACAATGTTTTATGCTGGGATAACACATGACTAATGCCATCCTCTGAATTATCAAAGGTATTTGGACAAAATTTGCACTTTTGCAAAATTCCTCCACTTTCTAGCATACTCTCCACTGAATGACTGCTTGCATCCAAATGTTTCTTTTGTGATTCTTGTGCTTCTTCTTTATTGATAGGGATTTTAAATATTTTTTCCCTCTCTTTTGGTTTTGGTTTTCTATTCATATAATCATTCTTTCTTGTTTTTCTTTTATTATGACTTTGTGTAACATTCTGATTTATAATTTCACTTGGTGTATTTGTATCCGCTTTAGTAGAGGTTTGTACTGAAAGTTTCTCTGGAGAGTCTAAATCTGAATTATTCTCTTTATTTTTTAATTTCCAAGGTCCACAGTGTTTGGTATGATCTGTAAATTCACAATCAGTACAAAAACTACTCTCACAAAAATTACACGAAACACTTTCAGTGTTAACAGGAACCTCTTTACATTCTTCCAGATGTTTGATGTAAGCTCCCCTAGGATATTCCTCTTTACAATAGCGACAGATATGTTTGGAGTCATCCCTTTTATGTACCGCTAGGTGGTGGGCAGCCTGTTCCTCACGTGTATCAAATAAAGCAAGACAATAAAAATGGCATCTAAATTTGTTTCTGTGGGCTTTAATCTGGTGTTGAAATAGTTTTCTGCTGCTAGTCTTAGTCATATTACATGCTGGACATTGAGGCCTCTTCATGTGTTTCCGTTTCTTATGATTGCGTAAAGCTGTGTTGGTTGTAAACGCTGATGAGCAATGATTGCAAGGTATCAAAGGCCTAAATCTTCGACGTGATTTTACTCTCCTTTTCCTGTATGCTGGAGGAGTATCTTGGCACTGGTGCTCAGACTCTTCACTAATTTTTGTCTGCACTGAGCCTGTTTCACCAGGTGGCTGTGGTAAAAGTGTAGATGGTAAAGAATCTGTCTTGATATTTCCTGTTGATCTTGGACTTTCTGGTGACACTGTGTCTTCTTTTTTGGGACGAACATCACAGAACTGAATTCTTGAAGGAAAGAAGGAAGAATCTATAGATTTTTCATCCTGGGGGGCTGCGACATTAATATTCTCGCTTGGAAACAAGTTTTGAAGGACAGATTCCATAGACTTATTGGTTACTACAGATTGATTGTTCTGTTCTTGGGGTTCTTCAGGTGGGGATAACAGTCCTCCTTCCCAAGAAAATGGCTTAATATCTGCAATAAGGTCATCATCACTAATCTTATCACTAGAAACCCCAAGATGTTGTGCAACGTGGATTTTTAACTGGTACTTGTTTCTGGTTTCCTTATTACAAAGGCGACAAACTAGTTGCATTTTATCTGAGAATGTATGCACAGGATTTTCAAGGCTGACCAAGTTGCTGTTTTCATTTTTGTCTTCACTAGTAATATCAAACTTCATCTTTTTATGGCCTTTCTTTTTATGTTCTTTCCATTTCACATCTGACATAAAGTCAGCTGAACAATGTTTACATTCAAAGATACTGTGAATTTTCCTCTTGTGGATTCTATGAGAGATGGGACTGACAAAGAGTTCATGACAAATATTGCATCTCAACTTTAAATTATCAGAGTCATGAGAAATCATATGCAACTTGAACCTCTCCTTATCCTTGGTTTTAAAGTTGCATTTCTCGCATTGCTGCAGTAGCTTGTGTAAGTTTATATGTTGCAAGTATTCTGAAGTTCTTTCAAATGTTTTACCACACTCTTCACATACCTTAACCACCTTTACCATATGCAAAGCATCCTTCACCCTCTCTTGAGGTTGTTGCAGATTTTGTCCAAGGAAGGGGACAGGCTCTACTGTTGGGGAATCGAGGAAGTTCTGTAGCTCGTAGGACATCATACTGTTGGGAGCCGTACCTGTTGGGACAACTAACTGTCAAGAATAACTACCAAAGGGGATGGGGGACGGAATAAACCTTTCATTCCCTGCAACGAACAGGCTTTTCAAAGACAAGGTACGGTGTAATCAAAGAAAATGCTTAAAGCTAGGAAAATGGGTACAAAGGTACAAGAGCAAAAAGGACTGAGATGAAGTGTCCATTGTCTTTTAATACACTGTACATTGTATTGTACTATCACCTTACTTCATATTCTTGGAATCACTATACAGTCAAACCCTCAAATTGCTTTGATTATCCAATATATTTACTAAAGGATCTCTCCCACACAACTTTGATTATTCATTTTTGGAGGTGCCCATTTTGAACTAGCTTGGTGTATGACCCAAAAATTGAAAACCATCTACTGTATATGATTTCATTAATTTTCTCACACCCAAATCTCTCTTCTTTCTGGACATTCTTATGAATACATGTATTAATATTAGTGTGGTCAGAGCAATATTAGAGAGAGATGGCCTCTGAAACACAAAACAAGCCAAAAATATGAAACAAAATTTATTACATTCACATAATTTAGATACATCTGTGGATGCTGAATTTGCAAGGGATCTCTAAGTTAACCTTAACTCCTGCAAATTTGGGAGTTCGACTGCACAGGTACTTGATATGTTGTGTAATTCCTGGATAAACGTCATTCTATTAGGATTAAATAAAGGCAGTTTTTTTTAGAGGAGACAGGTTAATAGTCTCCAATAAAGCAGTTGGTCTATGTATACCATGGTATGTATGCATACTGTATATACAACAAATACACACATGCATACAGTACACTAATAATTTTATCTATGCACTTCATACTTAAAACAATGTCATACATTGGCTGGGCAAGAGAGAAGCATTTAGTAAGTAACGTGTGAAAATTGTCCACATATTGAATACAGTACTTATTCAAATATACTATTAATAATAATTATGCAGCAAAACTGTAATAATAATAAATAATAAATGTTTGTAATGCACCTTTTATAGTAATTTCAATTCTGTATATATAAATTCAGTCATTTAGTGCATCAGTTACAGTACACTGAGCAGAAAGATATTAAATGTCACTGCATAGCCATAATAGAATATTCATAGAAACAGGCAATGTGATACAGTACAGTACTAGTAATACATGATTATTCTGGACACACTGGAGCCAGGATCTTTTGTTACATGAAAAATCTGGTACAAAAGATAAGGACATAAACAATCATAACAGATTGTAACCAAAAAATAACACTACACTGACTGATGGAAATGAGACTAGAGAGCAATAATGCTCCTTTATGTGGAGTAGCCTAGCTAGAGCTTGTTGGGTTCTGAAGGAGTACATCTAGCTGTAAAAGCTGGTAAAAGAGTAAAAAGCTGATAACAAGAGTATCAAGTCCTGACAGCTTTATAGTTTTTCTTCCTTCACAACCCTGCCTGGGATCAGGTTTTTCTGTTAACTGCCTATTCAACGAGGCTGCTACTGTTGGAGGAGTGCCAGCCCACACATCCATCACAGTCTGGTTGATCTGGCACTTAGTGGAGGTATTCATCTAGTTTCCTCTTGAAAACATTACACTTGCTGATAGCAGGTTGAAAAGCTTTGCACTACAGATGGTGGCTTTTAATTTGTCCACAGTGCTTCCCCTTTACACTTCCTCCCATACCTGGAGTCTACCCTGGAGGGTGTTTCAGGGATCAATGTCCCCATGGCCTGGTCCATGACTAGGCCTCACAGTGCATCAGGGCCTGATCAACCAGGCTGTTACTACCAGCTGCACGCAATCCAAAGAATGAACCACAGCCTGACTGGTCAGGTACTGACTTTAGGTATCTGTCCACCTCCCTCTTGAAGACAGTCAGGTGTCTATTGGTAATCAGGCGGGAGGCAGTTAAACACTCTTGGGCCCCTGACACTTAATGTGTTATCTCTTTAGTGTACTCACACCTGCTTTCATTGGGGGATGTTGCACTGCCTGCAGTCTTTTGCTTTCATAGGGAGTGATAATGTGTGTGCAGATCTGGGACTAGCCCCTCTAGGATTTTCCAGGTGTAAATTATGATGTATCTTTCTCACCTGCATTCCAAGGAGTACAGCTCAAGGGACTTCAAATGGTCCCAGTAACTGAGGTGCTTGACTGTGCTTATTCATGCAGTGAAAGTTCTCTGTATATTCTCCAGTACCCTGTATATTTTGCAATTTTGCTTGCCTTGAAAGGGGTTGTTAGTGTACAGCTGTGTCCCAGCCTAGAGAGAACAACTGATCTCTCACGGCACTATGTGATGGCAGCATGTAGAGTTGGGACTAGGCTCTCATGTATCTTCTATGCTTACAATATCAAGTACAGTATCTCTTTCTATTGTGGGGTTCGTTAGACAGGAGATCATAGTGAAGGAAACACTGATGGCTGTTATGAAATGCATTACATATATTGTGAATACTAGGAGAGAACCCAGCATGCCTGTCTGCCCTCTTCTATGCCCAGTCGGAATCTGAGACAAAGGCCTATGGGCAACTGCCCAAGTATGGGGAAGCATATGATGTCATGGCCTGGCAAGGGGGCCTTGCTCTAAATGTACTAGGGGATTGTAGGCATACATATAATTACACTGTTAACATTTCTTCACTCCAAGTAACACATTCCTAGTACTTTAGATGCTTTATTGGCACTGTGCAGGTATTAAATAATCTCTGTACCTTTTTCCCTTTGATATACCTTTGAAGAGTTTCGAGAGTTTATCTACTCTCTGAGCCCGGCCATGGGCCAGGCCCATCTAGTGCTTGCCTGGTCAACCAGGCTGTTGCTGCTGGAGGCCCGCTGCCCCACATATCCATCACAGCCTGGTTGATCTGGCACCTGGTGAAGTTACTTGTCCAGTTTCCTCTTGAAGGCTTCTACACTTGTTCCAACCATGTTTCTGATATCTTCTGGTAAGATGTTTAATAGTCTGGGACCCCGGATGTTGATACAGTGTTCCCACTCTGATATCTCCCCTACCTTAAACCGAGTCATCCACACCAAACAATATTCTAAACAAGAAAAGACAATTGATTCACATATAACATACACTTACAAGAAGATTTGAATAGCATCATCATTTACACTGTTACTCTTGTTTTGAAAGTTTTCATTATCCACTCTTGTCATTTTCCTGGCTTGTGCAGCATTTGTTAAAACAAAAAATCGTCTCATGTTCATATACGCAAGTCTTTTATATGTCCCTTCTGTTGTAAGATACAGTGCTCCTGTATTATGTATCCAGTGCTCCTTTTGAATTCCTTTCATATCTGAGCAGTTAGAATTTGTCACTATTAACATCATGTTATTTTTATAATGCCCGCTGGAAGGCTGTGTTGATATCTGCTGGCAAATTTTCCATGTCTTTTGCTGTGGTAATTTTCATGCTTATTTTGGTATCATCTGCGAAGGATGCAGCTAGTGTTATTATCTGTCTATGAGAACAAGGAACAGTAAAAAACCCAGGACTGTGTTTAGGGGTACTGAAATTTTCACTATGTAAAAAGTGTTTTCTTTTGTTAACTACTACTGCTCTTTGCATTTATTTTGTTAGAAGATCAGATATCTTTTTTCTCCTTTTCTGTTACAACTGTTGACCTTCTTTTACAGGCCAACAATCCATGATCACATTTGGGATAAATGAAGTCCTCTACTGTAAATGGTGCTTGGAAATCCCCTTTGGGAAAACTGTTTAATTAACATGAAGTGCTCTCCACAACATTTTCGTATGTAGATGCCTTACGAATTTCGTCCCATAGAAGTTTACTGCACTCCCTATCAAGATTTGGGGCCCTGTAAATCACACCCGAAAAACTAATTTTGGGTGTGATTTACAGGGCCCCAAATCTTGATAGGGAGTGCAGTAAACTTCTATGGGACGAAATTCGTAAGGCATCTACATACGAAAATGTTGTGCTAATGGGAGATTTCAACTATAGACAGATTGACTGGAGCAATTTGACAGGAAATTTAGAGTCAGGTGACTTTCTTGATACGATCCAGGATTGTTTTTTAAAACAGTTTGTGACAGAGCCAACTAGGGGAAATAACCTCCTTGATTTGGTTCTTGCCAGTAGGGAAACACTAATTAATAATCTTGAGGTTAATGATGAGCTTGGGGAAAGTGATCACAAATCACTCAGTTTTAATATATCATGGAATTCCCCTAATAATGGCAATCAAGTCTCCGTCCCTGACTTTCGCTTGGCTGATTTCATAGGACTGAAAAATTACTTAGGTGGGCTGAACTGGAATGACCTGACTAAGGGTCAGGTAGGTGGTGATGGTTGCCGATATGATGCTTTCCAGGGCATAGTTCTAGCTGCTCAGTCAAATTATGTTCCAAATAGGGAAATCAGATCAAACAAAAATGATCCTAAATGGATGAACAATAGATTAAAATATCTGATTGGTCAAAAGAGAGGCATATATAGGCAAATCAAAAGAGGAGAGGGGCAATTGAGAAATTGATATATTCAGTTAAAGAGAGAAATAAAAAAGGGAATTAGAAAAGCAAAAAGAATTATGAGGTTAAAGTTGCAAGAGAATCGAAGACTAACCCAAAAGGATTCTTTCAGGTATACAGAAGTAAGATCAGGGACAAGATAGGCCCACTCAAAAGTTCCTCGGGTCAGCTCACTGACAGTGATAAGGAAATGTGTAGAATTTTTAACACATACTTCCTCTCAGTTTTTACACAGGAGGATACCAGCGATATTCCAGTAATGATAAATTATGTAGAACAGGACGATAATAAACTGTGCACTATTAGGGTCACAAGTGACATGGTCCTTAGGCAAATAGATAAATTAAAACCTAACAAATCCCCAGGCCCTGATGAACTGTATGCAAGGTTCTAAAGGAATGTAAAGAGGAGCTTAGCACACCTTTGGCTAATCTTTTCAACATATCACTACAAACTGGCATGGTGCCAGATAAGTGGAAAATGGCAAATGTGATACCTATT